CATGCTAAGTGTAAAGCCTATTCTTACTACACCACCAAACACACACACACTCTCTCCTGATCTACAGTTCTCCCCACCACTACAGCGTCATCCCTGTAGTTAAATCAGTTTGATGTTTAGAATGCTATGATTTCATAAATTATTCCCAGTTATGGGCCTCCCGGGTGGTGCAAGGAGTTAAGCACCGCATTATGAAGCAATCCAGAGCTTCTACAGCACAAGTTCGATTCCTGGCTGGCCAGGGAGCAACCCACATGGCACAGCAGACCTCTCCTGACTGCTCCCTTTAGCAGTGTATTTCAGTCAGTCTGCCTCTTCTGTTCCCCCCCTTCCCAGCCCCGCATCGCTGGCCTGTACCCCAGCTCTTGTATGCAAAAATAAATCTTTTAAAAAAAAAATTATTCCCAGTTAAATCAAGTAGTAAACAATGACTGTATTTCCTTTCTTAGAAATTTTGTTTGCCCTAGAATTTTAATTGCCTCACTTTTTCATTCACTTAATTTTCTACATATTACTAATTCACCTTGAAACTTCCCGTAAAGGTTACAAGTCTGCTCCCAATGTGTTCAAACAAGACAGATATCAATTTTTCCCTCCCTTGAAGATAGCTACATGATTTCATGTTTTCAAGCTCCACTCTGGCCCTGTTGTTTTCTAGGTTTGACATAAACTATCATCCTGGGACTTCTCTTAATTATGCTAGAATTCCCTTGACCTGTCATATGGTTCTAATTACCTTATTTACAAAGACAACTAAAACCAACATCACTTTCAAGTCACAAGGGTTTAGGTTTCCACTGAAATGTTTTCATCCTTTGTAATAGGATCTAGGGCTATACACATACATATATCAGGGATATTACAGATTCTAACTACTCATGGCAGTATTTGCTAATGGTTACTTTTCTTTCAGTTTACACAGTGACCTCTGTACTTTTTTTTATTTTTTTTTTATTTTTTTTTTTTATAGAGGCATGTTTATTTCTTTATTTGTTTTGTTTGTTTGTTCTGTTTACACATGCACTGGGTACAGTCAGAAGCGCGGGAGGGTGAGAGAATTCACCAGAGCCAGAGCGGGGAGCAGAGCAGGCAGAAGGACCGAAGTACACTGCTGAGGGGAGCAGCGGGCGGCAGAAGAGGTCTGCGCGCCATGCAGGACCCTCCTCCGGTGGCCGGGGAGCAGCCAGGGATTGAACGGGCGCCGCAGAGGCCGCGGGCAGCTTCGCAACCCAGCGCTCAACCGCTGTGCCACCGGGGAGGCCCGACCTCTGTACTTTTTAAAGAAACCCCAAACTATTTTCCATTTCCACCAGCAGTGTATAAGAGCTCTAGTTTCTACATGTCCTTGCAAACACTTGGTGAGGTCAGTCTTTTTAATTTTAGCCATTCTAAACATGTACGATGGTATCTCACAGTGCTTTTGATTAGTGCCTCCCAAATGGCTAATAATGTGGAGCACCTTTTCAGCTATCACTCAGCCATTCATTCATCTTCTTTCTGAAAATGCCTATTCAAATCTTTTCCCCAATTTTAAATTGCGGTGTTTTGGGTTTGGGTTTAGTTTTTTGTTTTTTTTTTTTTTTTGTCTTCTAATATAGTAGTTCATTATATAGTAGTTCATTATATCTAATATAGTAGTTCATTATATATTTTAGCTACAGATACAGGTTACGTACATGATTTGAAAATACTTTTCTCCCAGTCTATAGCTTGTTTTTTATTTTTTTAATTTATTTTTATTTATTTATGCATACAAGAGCTGGGGTGCAGGCCAGAGGTGCAGGGAGTGAAAGAATTCACCAGAGACAGGGTGGGGAGCAGAACAAGCGGATCTATTGAAATACACTGCTGAGGGGAGCAGCAGGCGGGATAGGAGAGGTCTGCTGCGCCATGTGGGTCAGCTCCCTGATCAGGATCAGACTGAACTCATGCTGCAGTGGCTGGCTACAGCTTGACAGCACTGATACCTCAAACCCTGCACTACCAGGGTGGCCCGTTTTTTCATTTTCAATGGGATATTTTAAAGAAATGTTAATTTTGATGAAGCCCAATTTACTGATTTCTTTTACAGTTGTTTCTAAGAAATCTTTACCTAACCCAAGATCACAAAGATCTTAAATGTTTTCTTCAAAAAAAAATCTAGACTTTCAGTTCTTACACAAGTCTAGGGTCTATTTGAAGTGATGTCTGTGTGGATTTCATGTGGATAAGCATGTGGATAAGCGACTGTTGCAGCACCATTTGTTGGTATGACCATCATTTCATTGTGGAACTGCTTTGGCATCGTTGTCAAAAGCCAATTTATCAAAACTGGAAGTATTTATTTTTAGATTTTCTAATCTGTCCCACTGGTCAAGTACTCAAGCCAGTGCTTCACTATCTGGGTTACTGGAGCTTTACAGCAAATTCTGAGATCCAGCAATGTAAGTCCTCTAACTGTTCTTCCTTTCAATTTGAAAGGACCTGATCAGGTCCTCTGTATTTCATGTCAATTTCAGAATCAGTTTATTTTTATTTCTCACCCTGCTGGATTTTCATAGACACTATATTAAATCTATAAACACATCTGGAGAGAACTGCCATCCTAATGACATTAAGTTTTTTTTTTTTTAAAGAAACCATTTTATTTCCTCCCCCAGGACTTCATTTTTTTTTAATTAATTTATTTATTATTTATACAAGCACTGGGTACACTCAGAAGTGCGGGAGGGTGAGAGAATTCACCAGAGCCAGAGCGGGGAGCAGAGCAGGCAGAAGGACCGAAGCACACCGCTGAGGGGAGCAGCGGGCGGCAGGAGAGGTCCGCGCCGCCATGTGGGACCCTCACCCAGTGGCCGGGATCGAATTGGCACTGCAGAGGCCGCAGGCAGCTTCACAACCCAGTGCTCAACCACCGCGCCATAGGGGAGGCCCCCTAACGACATTAAGTCTTAAAGACCATGAACATGAAATGTTATTCCCTTTTTTTATATCTTCAATTTCTCTCAGCAATGTCTTATAGTTTTCAGTGTACTTTCTTATAGTTTCTGTTAAACTTACCCCTAAATATTTTATTCTTTTGATTCTATTGTATACAAGATTTTCTTAATTTTTTTTGGGGGGGGAGTGTTACTCATCACTGATACTTAGAAATACAAATGATTTTTGTATAATGATCCTTGTCTAAAAACTTGCTAAACTTACGTAAGATGCCTAAGATGCCTTAAGGTTTCTAAATACTGGATTGAACCATCATAAAGGTAGTTTTCATTTAATTTGTCATCTGTGTGCTTTTTACTTCTTTTCCATGCCTTAATACATTGGTTAGAACCTTCAGTACAATGTTAACAACTTATGGGGCAAAACAGTCTTTAGTAATTAAGTGTGATATAAACTGTAGATTTTTTTGTAAACATCCTTTGACAGGCTAAGGAGGTTTCTTTCCATTTCTAGTTTACTGTTAATGGGCATTGAATTGTTAATTTTCTGTGACTACCGAGAAGACCATGTGGTCTTATCTCCTTTGTTCTATTAATATATGTTAATTTATTTTCAAATATTAAATGCCATATTTCTAGAATAGAACCTACTCAGTCACAGCAGAAAATACGTTCTACATGTTGAATATGGTTTGCTAATATTTTGTTAAAGATTTTCACACCTATGTTCATGATGAATTTTCTTCTGATGTCTTTATCTGGCTTTGGAATCAGGGTAATACCAGTTTAATAGGATGAGTTGGGAAGTGTACTTGTTTTCTGAAGAGTTGGTGTAGGATTAGTATATTCACTCTGGACCTAATTAACTGCTAATCATTCTTCAGATTTCACTTGGGGCTTCAATTCCTCAGGGACAATTTCTCTGGCAGCCTTGATGACTGCCCATTTCCATTGTTTTAAGTGTAGTAGTTGGTAAACAAAAGCTCTCCTTAGCAAGTCACACAGTTGTAATATTACACCCATCTATGCGCAGATTTTAAAGTTAAAATAGAGGATCTGCAGCAAATCTTTAAAAAGAGAAATATTCACAGACAAGAATCTGCCAGTCTTTTCCAAGAAGATCCTGAATCCTGTAGTACAGGTATTAAAAGCAACTGAAAGATACCTTCTTTTAGCATCTCTCCTGCCCACCTGTGACTATGCAGGTGTTTCCTTTTACAAACCTCCCTTTGCAAAACGAGATGTAGCTTTCTTGCTCATTTGACAAAGCACGGTGCTGCTTCTCCTTTTCCTAATAAACCCACATTCTTTTAAAATGTAAAAACAAGTATACTTTATTTTAGGAGCAGGGATGGTATTTAGGCTATCCAGTTACATTCTGCTACTAAAGAATCTTAAGACTAATTTGTACCACCCTCCCCACATAACCCTGACTTTGGAACATTAGATTATTAATTTATAAGAAGAAATGGAAAGATTAAATAAACTCATTCTGAATCACACATAGGTTTCTGGTTGCTTGGTTAGCATAGTCTCAAGAATCTGCTCAGTTGTAAGACCAGTGCAGGAAAAGGCTTAAGAATCTGGAAAAGTTAAGACAATATACTCTAAATCAGTAACTGAAAAAGTGTTTCAGGCAACAAATGGATTTTGTTGGACTTGCTACTAAAGAGGAAGTGAGGAGGAGGAGGAGAGTGGAGGGAAGACCACACTCTGGAAGAAAAAACCAAAACCTGGGCATTTCACGTAACAATTCCTATGGCCAGATTCTCTTGAAAACTCTGAAGTTCTGGCAATACTGGGCCTGCATCACCACAAAGTAAAACTGGCCAGTGTCAAGGAGCCCTTCATAGTCCCACCTACATGGGATATTTGATCTCTAATTCATCATATACCAATCACTCCTTATTTCCCTGGTACCAGCTATATTTTACCATTCGCTATGTAATGTGTTCCTTACAAGCTTCTATGAATCAAGAATGCCATACTGGAAAGTAAGTAAGTGCAGATGTCTTAAAGAGTAAATACAGTCCACTACAATCACGCAGTAAAACAAAGCTAGAAGCAAATAAATCCATTTACCTTAATCTGAGTCTGTTCGACTGACTTTTCCCATATTTGTTGATCATAAGCTCCAATCTGAAATGAGAATCAGGGTATTTAAAATGCAAAGGAAACTTACTTAGGTCAAACCTCAAAAAAGTGGTGGAACTATGAAATATCCATACGCTATCTGGAAAATGTTTCTCAGACTCTGTTTCCTTCAAAACTCTCAAGTAGCTGGATCTAAAAGTAAATCAAAAAGCTACATCCAAAAATTTAAAATTTAATAGTACCTTAAAAGATATTTCCAACTCAGGAAAAGCAGCAGCAGGAAAACTAAAGCCGGGAAAAAGGTGACTTGTGGGGGTGGCTCAGTAACTTTGCAGGCAGTACCAATAAAAGCACAGACAAAGTTTCATGTTTAAAAACCTGCAGTTTGATCCGAAGCAAACTTGCAAAGTCTCGCTGGGGCCTTGCCTAGAAGGTGACTTGACACTCTTGCGTGAGAACCCGAGGCTGGGTTTAAAAGACAGAATGACCTGACACATCAGTTTCTCCATTTACCTGAGATGCGGTGTTGGGCTGCCCGGCAAGACCAAGCTGGGGGGTTGGGGGGGACCAACGTGATGTTCTTTGTGGGCGCTTTTAGCAGGAAACGTGCTTTACAGATAATAATAAAAACGCTGTTACCTTCTTTTGGTACCACGATATGGCATCTCTCTCACCGGAGGCCATCTGCGTCTCTAGTCAGAGAGTGGGGTTCACTGGAAAGGCAGGGAAAGCTGGGGTGAGACCGCGGCGGGTCCGCCCCCGGCTGGGGGAGCGCCCGCACCCCGCTTCCCCGCCGCTCCCGCGCCGCAGATCGGCCGCTCCGGCCGCGGCCAGGAAGGGCGGACACAAAGCCCAGGCGAGCGGTGCCGGGGGAGCCTCTGCGCGGCGGGGCGCGGGCCGGGGGGCGGGGGGCCGGGGGCGGGGGGCCGGGGGGCCGGGGGGAGGGGGAGGGGGGACCCACCCGCTCTCACCTGGCGCCCGCGGCCGGGCAGCGCGGCGGCCGGGCCCGTCCTCCTCAGTGGCCCCGGCCGGGCCGTGAGGCGACGGCCGAGGCGCCGGGCCCCGCAGGCCGCATCTTCCCCCCGAGGCCGAGACGCCGGCGGGGCCGTTACCATGGAGACCGCGGCGGCCGCCCCAGCGCGGAGGCCGCGGGCCGTTCGGCGCCACCCGGGCGGTTGAGGCCGCACGCCCGGCGCCCTCGCAGCGCGGCCGGGGCCGCCGGGCCGAGCCTGAGGGGCGGGAGCCGGCCGGGAGCGGGGACGAGGGGAGCGGCGGGCGGCCTCGGCTGGGCCGCCCGCCGCTGCGGCGACGCGGAGAGCCCGCGGCGCGGCCGCTTAGGCGGGTGCCGGGCCCAGCGCCCCCGAGGCGGCGGCTGCGGGGGGCGGGCGCCGGGCTGGCGAGGACCCGCCGCGCCGAGACTCCGCCCGCCGAGCCGGGTGCCGCGCTCCGCACGCGGCGCAGCCGGGACGCCGCTTCCTCCTTCCGGGCGCCGCGGCGGGCCCGGCCCCGCCCCCGCCCCCGGGCTCGCCCCGGCCCCCCCGCCCCCGGCCCGGCCGCCCCCGCCCCGCCCCGGCCTCCCCGTCGAGTGGCCGCCGGCCCGGGGTGTGGGTCCCGGGAGCCCCGCCGCGTCCCCCGGCCGAGAGCTGCGCCCCCAGCGCTCCCTCAGGCGCTTCCTCAGAAGCGACCTCCCCAGACGCGGGCCGGGGCCGGCCCGGGCGGGTCCCAGCCGCGTCTCCCCGGGCGCCTGCCCGGCGTCGGGACCCCCCGCCGCCCTGGGGCTCAGCGACTCCCACCCCCGCCGCCCTGGGCCCGAGGACCTCGGCTTGGGGTGCTCGGGGCTCAGGGCGGGGCAGGGCCCGGGGTCGGCGCCGCGAGGGCGGCTGAGGGTGGGCGGGGGAAAGGGATGGTCGCTCCCTGAAATGATCGAGGGCCTTTTTCTGGGGTGCAGGGGTGTTTGCTGCGAACTGGCACCTGCCGGCCGCCCTCGCCCGCTGGAACCCGAGTCCGAGCGCAGGTGCGGGACGTGCCTCACGGCGCGCTTCAGGGGCGCGCGGTGGAAGTGAACCCCACTTTAGCGGTGCGGAAATCAAGAGGACCTCCCAGGGGACGAATTTTCAGCCATTTCCCCAGGCCTGGTTTTATTTTGCATACACTGGCGAGGGCCTCCCGCTCGTAACAGCGTCTTCTTTCCCTGGAGCTAAATTATTACCCGTTTCATCGAGTTTCAATACAAATGGCCAATTTAAAAAGAAACCTGAACAAATGCCCAGTCCTTTTAAAGAAATCTAAATAGTTGCTTTACAACACATACATTCACAGAAAAATACTGCAGTTGCTCAGTGCAGGGGAGAGGCCGGGGTGGGGTGAGGGCGGGGGCGGTTAGTTCGAAGAACGGAGTTAAGTCACATTAGGGAACCGCAGAGCAGCAAACCGGCTTTCAAGAGGCCCCTTTGCAAACTTCCCAGCGCTTCGTCAAACCGCCGCTGGAAAAAGCGCAGGCTCTGAAGCCAGAGCTGCCAAAGCTAAGCTCCCACTAGCAGTATTTCTTCTTAGGCAACTGCTTCAACCTAAGCCTGTGTCACCTGTATAATGGAGACTGTATTGTTAACCTTCCTTTAAGTCCGTGACGATTACAAGAGATACACTACGTAAAGTCATGGCCCAAGACAGTCACTCAGAAATACTAGTTCCCCTTCACTCCCTAATCAGAACCGAGGGCTAGCCACACTGAGGGCCAGGCACCTCAGTCACGAAGTTCACACAAAAACTGATGAGCAACAAAAGCCCTTGTGTTGTCACTCCATACGTCAGTATCTGCAAGCCTTTATTCTACCCTCTTACCTAACACCATACGCACACTTTCAAAAATGCCTGTACCACCAGAATAAAAATTTAAGATCATCCTCTCCTAAGCAGGATGATCCTAAAACTTAAGCAGCAGGCGGCATAACTAGCACTAATGCCGAGCATCACTTTTCTTCCCCAAACCACCGTAACTCAGTATGAAGTTTTCCCCAGATACCTATAACCTTTTCTTTAGGAATGAAAAGCCACAAGTTTCTAAAATATTAGAAAATAGAGACACAGAAAGGGGTTAATATTTTTAAAACAGATTTCATGTAGCTAGAATTCACATGTGCATTTCATTTTGTCACCAAACATCAATAAAGGACAAATCAGACTTTGTTTATTAAAAAAATACTTTACAGGAAAAAAAAAAACCTCTATGCATTCCATTGTCCTATTTTACAAAGAAATAGCTTAACAATTTAACACACTTAGACAGCTACAAAAAAGCACTGTTAAAAGGATTATTATTCACACAAATTTAGATTTAAGACTATTCATTTAAAACCTTTTTAAAACACTCAATGTCAATAAACTAAGGCCACATAACGCAAATAGTCCGCCAGGCAAATTATACATTTCATCTATATGCAAAGACCTCTTAGATAAATTAAAGCCACAGGAAAAAAAAAAAATCTTAGCTGCCAATCAAAATGGAGTTTAGTCACAGAAAACACTATTACATGAAAATTTACAACATGTGATAGAAGTAGTACATAAGTATTTCTTTAGAGAAATTGAAAAGTGCTATATTAAAGAGACAGTGGTCTCAACTACATGCACAAGTGGATCCTAAAAAATGTATGAAGAAAATGGAAGGCCATAATATTTATGGAGAGATACTTGCTTTTAAAGCAACAAACTTTCAGGATGAGGATAGGTCCCTTATGTGCTAAAGAAAAACATTTGTCTTGTACATTTCCTCTTACTGCATAACCAATAAATACAGCTACAACCTGTTTAAAACAGAAAATTTAGACATACAAACCTCTGGCATGTACCAGTGAAAGGTTCTTCTAAAACCTGTAGCAATGATAAAAGATTAGAAAGACACATACTCAATTATCCTAAAAGGTACAGATGCAAATTTTAATGGCAAATACAGATGAAAATATAATGAATGGGATAATTAATGATGAATATATTCACTGAAGATTTTCTTGAATTTTGGAATTTTGTTCCCAAGCTAGCTTTCATTCTGAACAGTATTTATGAAGGGAAAAATAAGCAAAAGTTTCTCCAGTCATTAAGTTTTAACTTTATGCCTGTTAAAACTGCTATCTTTGCCTACGGTTTAGTATTTAACAAGCGCATTTTCTCCCTAAAATAGTTTGTAATATTTAGTCAACTGATTTTCCAACTGCCTCTAAGGAGAAAGTTTACCTTTCAAAAGTCTTGTAATAACATAGTAATAAAACAAATTCTCAATACCAAATAAGCAAATTAAAAGTAGAATTAAGTGTAGAAACTCATTTTAATGAGTTTAAACTTTGGAGAAAACTAATATGCAGCTTTTATTATTGCTTTATGAATTGGGATACCTCTTTGAATCATAATCCTACTCCTAGCATATTTTGGTAATTACAGAATGACTTCTGGGGTTGGGGGAAGACATCTATATCCTTGTTAATGAAGACATAAAATCATTCTAGTTACTAAGTTAGAAATACTCATTTATTGGGTCCTCTCCATAAGCACATTTTTAAAATGTCCCTCTGCTTATAAAACTTATAACTTACAAAAACTTATAGCCACATTCTGCAAGTAATCTCAGAGTTGGCACAATGGATAATATACCAAAAAGGAAGATCAGCTTAAATTTCAGTTACAACTTCACTGCCATCACTACTTTACAAATCAAAAGACACCCGATTGCTCCATGCCTCACTCTACCAAACCAAATAATTTAATGATTTAGAAAAGTTGCAATCAATTGTATCACTAAACTAGGATACAGCTTTGAAAGCAGTAAGAAACTCAAAACTTTTGCTTTTATAGTCTTCAGTCTTTAAAGCATGCTATTAAAATCTAATACTCACATAGGACATTCAGAGTTTCCAGATACATCACTAGCTAAATGTTTCTCTCTCCATTCTATTGCAATTCTAATATACAATGAATTTATTAGTACATGATTTTAAACATTTTATACTCTTTTAATGTGTTTATATTGGAGGTGAGGGGGTAGTACGTTTTATAAAAGGAAATGGGGAATTTGTTTTTGATTGTAGGTCTTTGCAGATCCGCTGGTTCCTGAGTGATTATACACAGTGCTGGCTGTCAGGAGACAGTCTCCTTGTTGGTTAGCAATGACCAGCTTAGATGACAGATGGCATCTGCTGGATGGCAAGTGGGAGATGGGGAAATCGGATCTTGGAAGACAAGACAAGAAAATAAAAAAAAAAAAAAAAGTTTTTGCTTTAACAATCCTGTTCATGATTATTTTAAAAAGCAAATGTTGCCTGAGAAGAATTTTACTTTGTATAGCCTAGTAAAGCTCTATGAAATTCTTCCGGACAGAAAAAAAAAAACACAAGAAATAACCCAAACCCATATACTTTGTGATTAACCCCCTCCCTCCCAAAATAACAAAAAATCACCCTCAAAGGCAGGTAGCTCCCTTAAAAATTAGTCTTGATAAACTAGAATTTATACCCAAGATTTAAAAACACCCCTGCTATAATCACATTACTTTCATACCATTCTAATTACCTTATTTACAAAGATAACTAAAGCCAACATCACTTCCAATTCATAAATGGTTTACATTGAAATGTTTCTCTATTTGTCTTCATCCTTTGTAACAGAGAATACATACATATACATATATATAAGGAATAATACAGATTCTAACTAATCACTGCAGTATTTGCTGATGGTTACTTCTCTATCGGTTTACACAGTGACCTCTATACTTTGCTAATATGCATTTAACTACACAACAATATTGCACAAAGTAATATTTATATAAGATTTAACCTATTTCAGAATATTTTAGAGAAAATTCATATTTGATATTTTGAAAGATGCAGCTAAGTTTTTCATGGTGACACACATAATAAAGCAGCATCTTTTTTTTTTTTTTTTGCCTATGTTAATGTAAATATTCCAAATTTCACCCTCCAGGAAAAAAAAATCTCCAAATTGCACTATAACCAGGTAGATACAAGAATCTGGTCTTAGGTGTGGGGAATACTCTTCTTTTAATAAACAAAAGCTTTATTATTAACTAAGAGAAAGTGAAAGTGTATCACATTAACATTCTAAAATAATAGAAAGTTAAGACTACACTAGCTATATGAACTGTGT